CTCTAGCAAGAGAGAGAGAGAGAGAGAGAGAGAGAGAGAGAGAGAGAGAGAGAGAGAGACAGAGAGAGAGAGACAGAGAGAGAGAGAGACAGACAGACAGACAGAGAGACAGAGAGACAGACAGAGACAGAGACAGAGAGAGGCAGAGAGACAGAGACAGAGACAGACCAAGAGAGACAGAGACAGAGAGACAGAGACAGAGGCAGAGAGACAGAGAGATACAAGGAATTTTAAGAAAATACATATTGGTGACCTCCTGAGGGCACTGCACCTGCAGGGCAGAGGATTCTAAGTGGAAATAAGTTTGCAATGGCTGGAGACATTTTTGTTTGTCATAAGGTGCTACAGATATCTTTGGGGGCAGAGGTCAAAGGTGCTCAGAACCCTCTGCTTTGCCCCAGAAAAAAGACTGACCTATAAACCTGACCTGTGATTCACCCAGTGAGGGGGGCAGTGGGCTCTTCCCTAAGGTGTTGTAAGCAATCAGTGTTTTGTCACAGCTGAACATCAACCATGTCTGTTCCAGGGCCTCGATGCTGTCATCTCTCTAAGACTTATACTTACATCTGTCTCGGATGGAAAGTTCCTGAAAAGCAGGTATGGCTGTGCTATGGGGCAGAGCAAGTTTATCTCAACAGTGGCTTGATAACTAGCTTTATTTTGTGATGAAGTGGTTCATTTAACAAACATGAACTAGTTATTTCAAAGTGACAGGGGCCTTTTTGGTGAGAACTTTAACTGCTAATAGGTCATGGGCCATAGGTTCACAAAGTACAAAGAGAAATAGTGAAATAAAGTGTCATAGCATCTTGGAATCCAGCAAGGAAAAACTAAATATGATTGTTACTTTACTTTTTAAACCAAAAATCTAAGAGATAGAAGATACAAATATGAAGAATGAAACCACTAAAGTACTAAGAAAAATCTCTGGATAAAGTTTTAAATAATCTGAGTGTGGTAAGATCATTCAAGTAAGACAGGAAACTCACACAAAAAAGAAAAATGTATTTCTTTTAACCAGGATCTTTATGACATAAACCACTATACACAAGGCAGGAATGAGAAACGGATGGGGGTGGGGTATTTACCACATGTGATGTAGGGGAGTCTACTTAGTGTATGAAGAACTGTTAGACATCAATAAAAAAAGAATAATAAGGGCTGGCAAGATAGCTCAGTGGGTTAACCACCTGCTTAGGCAAGCTCAGGGACCAGAGTTCAATCTTTGCTACCACATGCTGTGCCGGCCCCACCCCTGGGTGCACTGAGCCAGCCACCGAGTTTGGGCAAGGTGGCCCACACCTCTAATCCCAGTGCTGGAGAGACTGAAAACAGGAGGATCACTACAAGTCTGAGCTGCATAGTGAGGTCCTGTACCAAATACATTTAAAAAAAAGAAATAATAACTGAACTGATATATAGACATACTTGGGTATGCGTTGTTAGTTCCTCCCAGAAAGTGTGACAAATCTGGTGAATATAGAGTGAATTTTTCCCATAAGAAATAATGTAATTAATAAGCACTTGCCTGACAAGTGCAAGGTCCTGAGTTCAATCCCCGGTACCACAAAAACAAACAAACAAACAAAAACAAAAAAGAAAAAGAGAAAAAAAAGTAATGTAATTAGACATAGGTTTTGGATTCTGACATTAACACTTGTTTTTAGCAAACTACTTGTGTATGCCCGTGACTTCAGATGCTCTGTGTTCCTTCTAATATCTTTCCTCCAGAGTTTTATGTCCTGTTCTTCATGGCTGTCTGCCTTCTGACAGACTCAAGATAAACTGACTGCCATCTTTGTAGGTGTGGGGGATTTCAGATTTTAGTCAAGCGAGGGCCATTCCCTTTGGGAATCTTCTGATCACGTCGTTTTCTGTTGGTTGGCTCCATGGGTTTCCCAAGAGGCAGGCACCGTGTCTTACTCATACTTGGCACAGTGCCTGGCACCAGGAAGCCCTGAATAGGATGAGAAAGGTGTGAATGCCTGCCTGCCACAAGTGTCTTCTTTCAAGTGCATGCCTTGATGAGGCTCCTCAGGCTGCGGATTTCTAGGGTCCTCGCCTAGCTGCTGACTCCTCCAGGTCCAAGAGAAAAGCAGGAATGAACAAAGACAGCGACCCGGGCTGCCTCCCTGACGCCTCACACACATCCAGAGGCTCTGAGAGTGGATGCTGTTTGTCATCCCCGTGTGTCCCTCACCTTTAGCAGCATTCAGTTGAGACATCACCCTGGCTATCACTTCTCTCTTCCTACTCTGAGCCCTGAGGAAAGCAAGTGGGAAGTGGAACAGCAAGGAAGATACGAATCAGTGCAGTTAAACCCAACATTTAATATGGGCTAGTTTCCGTGTTAAAATTTCTACCTGTAGAGAGGGCTGGGGATATAGTTCAGTGGCATAAACACCTGCCTGGCCAGCACAGGGTCCTCAGTTCAACTCCCAGTACTGAAAAAAAAAATCTACCTATAGAATAATTCAATACTTAAGTGGGCATTCTCATTGTACAAGCGGGAAAATTGAGTTAACAGAGACTGGCCCCAGGTCACAGAGCTTATTCCTAGGTGAGCTGGGATCAAACCAGGAAAACCAGCTCTGGAGTCCATGCTCTCAAACTCCACACTCTTTCCTTAGCATGTGCACGAGTGTGTCAACCTAACTGGGGATAACCATGCACAGAAAATGCACAAATCAAAAGTATGCAACTCGACACATTTTCACAAGAGGGAGAGCAGCTGTGTTAGCGCTCAGCTCAAAGGACTAAACACTGTCAGACAGCAAGGAAAGCTGGCGATTGCTCCCCGACACTACTTCTTCATCAAGGACCCATTCTCCTCAATTCTCCCCTCCTCTATAAGTTTCTGTCTCTCCCCTCTCTCCTCTCTCTTTCAGACATGATCTTGCTATATAATTCAGGCTGTCCTTACTTAGCCTAGTACCCAGGCTGCTTTAAACTCATGGTAATCCTCCTGCCTCAGCCTCCTGACTGCTGAAATTACAGGCATGTACCACCGTGCCTAGTGTATAGCCTCCTATTATTTATTTATTTGTCATTTTATTTGAGGCAGGGTCTCACTACACAGTCCAGGCTGGCCTTGAGCTCACTTTGTAGCTCAGGCTGGTCTCAAACTCACAATGATTCTCCTGCCTCAGCCTCCTGAGTGCTGGAATTACAGGCATGCACCACCACACCCAGCTCCTATTTTATCTTATTTTTGCCCAATTAACTTTTCTTCCAGAAACATTTTAATAAAAGTTGGCCATTTCCAAGAAACACCCACTGCATGCCCACTGGCATATCCTTCTATTTGAGTCACACTTGAATTTCAAGCCTCATGAGGTCTGGGTTTTGTTTTTTGTTGTTCAGGCTGGCCTCAAATTCTTGGGCTCAAGCAAGCCTCTTGGCTCCGTCTCTTCAGTAGCTGGGACTATAGGCATACATCACCATGCCCAGCTTTTAGGGGGTTTGCTGCTAAAGTGAAAAAGTATTCTATCTTGAAGGAGTTGAGGTGGTGTAGCTGAGAGAGCACATTCCCTATAAAAGAGATAACTGGAGGTAGGTGAACTAGAGGGCGGTTGTTTCAGCAAGGTACTGCTCTTTCCACTAATCCTCCCCTCCAGGACTACATTTCCCAGGAGGCTATGCTCTGACAGCTCTTGGATTTAAATAGGATTCTGGGCTCTGCTTAGAGCCAGGCTGTTGCTGAGTGACCGGGAGAGAGAGGAGCGAGCCAAGAAGAAGCAGACGCTGGAGTTGGAGTCAGACCAGGAGCCTGAGCCAGACCTGGGGTAAAAGCTGGAGCGGCATCACTAAAGAAGCCGAAAAGATGCTGCTTATTTTGGGACTGTTCACCTGCTTCCTTTCAGTTTTCTACGTGACAGCTCCATCCATCAGGTTTGTCTTAATTCAACAACTCCTAATAGTCGGTGGAGTCCGGCACTGGGAGCCCGTTCTCAGCTGCAGAAAGAGACTGAGAGAGAAAGGTAGGGCAGAAGATGCAAGAAAGAAGGGTCTTGGATACCAGGGTGGAAAGTGAGAAGGGAGCTCCTGGGGTAGCTGGAGGTGGAGCTGATTTAGGAGGTGGAGTGAATGACTGTTAAGTAGCTCAGTAGCCGGTTTAGGCGGCAGTGCCTGCTCTTTCACTCTGTTCCCGCGGGCTTCTATGACATCTTCCCTTCTTTTCTATCCCTGGGCGAGGTGGCCCTGCTGTGTTGTTATGGATGGGGGTGTCAATGCTGAGGGCCTCTCTCTTAAGTGCCAGGCACTCTGGGAAGGAAGCAAACTCTCCTCCCCTTGATACTATCCTCAATAAATGCTTTGGAATGGCTCCTCAGTTGTGGGATTTCTGGAGGGGTCAAAGAAAGGTGTGTTGTGGAGAATTTTTAAATGACTGTTGATAAAGAAAATTAAATAGGGACAGTTAAATGACAATATCATTTGGACATAGAGACCTGCACTTAAATTCCAGTTCTGCTGCTAGCAGAGGTGACTTAAACTCACAGACCTCAGTTTTCCCTACTGTCTTGTGCATACAGTGGTGGAGCAGCCCAGAACTTAAAATCTTACACAGAAAGTGCCAGGCTAGGTGCCTGACAATCAGAAGATACCTGGCAAATGCTGTTGCTTCTGCCCACTCTGATCTTGTTCAGAGCTTGAGAAATCAACAAGGGAGGTTTTCTCCATGTGCGCTGATTGCCAAAATAAAATTCCTAATAATTCCTAATACAATGGCGCAAAGCCTATCAGGGTGCCCTGCTCACTAAAATGGGAGACAAAGCCTGAGGGTGGCATTTGTCAAATTTTAGTATTCAGTATTTGTTTTATTTGGGGGGAGCTGTAGTCTTTTTGTGTGTTTATTATTTTTATTATTACACTTGCAGTACACATTGACTATACAAATTGTGGAGTTGGTACATGTGTGTAACACATCTGAATTCTTTTTTTTTTTTTTTTTTTGCAGAACCGGGGATTGAACTCAGTCCCTTGCACTTAACAGGCAAGCGCTTATTCTACTGAGCCATCTCCCTGGCCCTGAATTCTTTTTTTAAATTATTTTTATTTTTAAATTTTTTAAACATTTTTTTTTTTTGAATTTTTTTTTTTTTTTTTTTTTTAAATCCCTTTCCTTTCCTCTCCCTCCTCACTCCTTCCATCTCTTTTACGGAACTCTAGCTCCCTATTTCCTGTTATCTTTTCTTTTGCTCTTTAACTTATTTCTATTTCGGGCTTATCATATAAGAGAAATCATGTGCTAGTTAGGCTCATCTGGTTTATTTCACTTAATATCCTGGCCTCAACGTGCATCCATTTTCCCACAAATGACTCAAGTCTGTCCTTCTTTATGGCAGAGGAGTAATCCCCATTCTCTTTGTCCATTCATTTGTTGATGGACACGTAGGCTGCTTCCAAGGTTTAGCTATTTTACGTTATGCTGCTATCAACATGGGCTTGGGTGGATCACTGTCATGAGGGAACTTACCTCCTTCAGGAAAGTACCTAGACAGGACTAGCTAGGTGAAATGGGATTTCTAGTTTTAACTTTGCGAGGAAGCTTCCTTCTGGGTTCCAGAGAGGCTGTAGCGGTTGACATTCCCATCAAACTCTTAATGCTGCCACACCCCCGCCCCGGTGCCGCTCGTCAGTGACTCTCTGTGAAGACCCAGGCTCAGGACAGCTGACTCCTGAGTGCCCAGATGGGTTGAGTGCGGGTTGGAAGAGGAAGCTGACCTCTGGGAACCTCTAGCAACAGGAGCTCCATACCTTTGTTGTTGGAAAAGGAAGATGGGGGCTGGCAATGTGGCGCGGTTGGCTCAGTTGCCTTGTGCGCCCAAGGTCCTGGGCTCGATTCCCAGTACCCCCGACTACTACTACTACTCATCATAATAATAATTACATTTTAAAAAGGAATGTCTCCATTAGCCCTGGCTTAAAAGCATTTATGCTGCTGCCTGGGGGATCATCTGCAGTCACAGGATATTCCACACTGCTCCCAGAACTGGCTACCACCTTACCCACTAAAAACAAGTGCCACGCAGTCTAGCTTCCTAAGGGTCCTGACTCCAGCCTCAAGATATTCTTTGAGCCTGGTGAGTTTTATTTCACGCATCTCAGCCTCAGTTGGGAAGGACAGGGTGTGATGCTTTTCTTTCCCTTCCTGACAGGAAGTACTTTGCTGGTGGAGTCTGCAGAACCAATGTGCAGCTTCCTGGAAAAGTGGTGGTGATCACCGGCGCCAACACAGGCATTGGCAAGGAGACAGCCAGAGAGCTCGCGCGCAGAGGTGAGCACTTCCCTGTGAGCTCCACAGGCCTTCTCCTCCTGACTGGGGACTCTGCCCTTAGCGCCTTGTCTCTCCCTCCCCTCAGGATGTTGAGTTCCCAGAACTTGGGATTCAAGTCCAGTGTGATTCTAACTTGTTTTCTGGCTTTCAATAGACCTTCTTGTTCCTTCCAGGTTACATAAAGAAAGGGAACTAATGATAACTCTGTATAATAATATTGGTCAAGTATGTTACGCTAATAGGAGATCATAAGCAGTATTAAACATTAGAGTGTCGTGGTGCACGTCTGTGATCCCAGCACTCTAGGAGGCTGAGGCAGGAGTTCAAGCCCACACTGGGCAACTTAGCATTTTAATGAGGCCCTGTCTCAAAAAAAAAGCCTAGGGATATAGCCCAGTGCAAAGGCCCTGAGTTCTTTGGGGTTTGATCCTTAGTACCACACACACAAAAAGAAAAACCCAAAACACCAAAATATAACTGGGGTTTTAAACCAAGGTTCTTGGCCTGGGGTTAAGCTGGCCAGAGAAGACAGATCAGTGCTTCTATGAGAATCCAGAAGCAGCAGTACAGCACTGCAGTACTTTAGGGGTGGCCAGGAGAGTGCTGTGTTTACCAGTCCCTAGGTCACTCACTGTACCTTTTCTTCAGTCTCCCCCCTGAATATGCTGCATTTCTGTCCCGGCCCCAGGAGCCCGAGTATACATTGCCTGCCGAGATGTGCTGAAGGGGGAGTCTGCCGCCAGTGAAATCCGAGCAGACACAAAGAACTCCCAGGTGTTGGTGCGGAAACTGGACCTATCTGACACCAAATCCATCCGAGCCTTTGCTGAGGGCTTTCTGGCAGGTGAGGCTCGCAGGCATAGAGAAGAAGCAGGAAAGCAAGTATGGGAGTGGCTGCTCCACCCTGGGCCATCTTCTGGTCCTGGCATCAGGACTACCACGATCCTACTGGACAGGTTCCACCATGAGAGCCATCAGGATAGCGATTTGGCAAGGGTATGGTGGGCAGACAAGCTGGGCAGGCTCCACACGGGCTTCTTGCTCAGCAGTGGGAATGCTGGGGGTGGCAGCTCTGTCTGGGCTTGTACCTTGGCCTTAAGGTGTGGCCATGATGCCTTCTTCTTCAATCCAGAAAATCAACCTTTTGTGTCCAGAGGCACTAGGTGAGCTTGTGCCACAGCTAAGATTCTTCTGGATCTTAGAAAATTACTGGCTCTGTCACTGCCTGTAGAATCCATGAGGAGCAGGGACTGGGTCTGCCTTGTTTTACCACTGGATTGCAAGGGCCTGGGAGAGTGGGCCTGCCCCACAGTTGGTAGCCAATACATACCTGCTGAAAAGATGGACAACCTAGAAGATTCGAGCGCCTCAACTTAGAAACACACTGCAGTACTTACTGAATACCAGAGAAGTTGGTCCAGGTGGGGGATAGTTTACTGACTGCCAAGGCACACCTTGTCTTAGAAGACAGGAGCAAAGTGAATGATGGCCTTGCCCCAACAGAGAGTTCATGGACAAGGGCAAGGGGAAAATACTCAGGACTATGAGAGGCAGCTAGTGGACTTCACACTAACTCCAGGATTCCCTTGGTTGTGCTTGACAGAGGAAAAGAAGCTCCATATACTGATCAATAATGCAGGAGTAATGTTGTGTCCATATTCCAAAACAGCAGATGGCTTTGAAACCCATATTGGGGTCAACCACCTGGGTAAGTGTCCTTGGGTGACTCAACCCTCTTGTTCTTTGTAGAGAGATGACCTCATTCCAGAGCTGAGAATTTCCATGGTTTCTTAGATCCTAGGATGCCAACAGATCAGACACTTCCTGTTTTCACTCTTCTTCTGACCAGCCTGAAGGAGTGAAACCTTCCTCCCCACACCATTAAGAAACCCCAAATATCAGAAGAAGATTTCATTCTGACATAGGACAGAGATAATGAAGGGCTCTCCAGAAGGGCCAGGAATGCAGGCACCTGGATTGGGCTGGAGAAGTCACAACCATAGGAGAAGCAAGCCAGCCACAGGTTGGCCCACGGAGGTCAGCAAACCTTGAGAACTTCTGGTACAAGACAGGCTGTGGTTCAGACCTCAGGGTGGTGGTTCTAGGGAGGCCAGCGCCAAGTGAGTTGTTTTTACTAATGATTCACTTTCCCTCAGTGCCTGAGTGTACCTGGGCCCACAGTTGTGTAATCATAGCCAGAGGGGAAACTGGAAGCCAGCAGGTGAGAGTTTTTCCTGGCTAAAGCAAGGAGCAGAGGTTCAAAAGAATATAGGTTAAGTGGGATTGCTTCACTATAGTTGGGCTCCAGTCCTTGCTTTGGGGAATCCACTAGCTGGGAACCAACTGACCATTAGCCCTGAGTTACTCTTGGTATGAAAAATTGTTCACACCCTGAAAAATAGCGAACTAATGCTGAGGCAATGCTGCTGTCTTACCCTTCAGTCCCTTGCTGTCTCTCCTTGTAGGCCACTTCCTTCTCACCTACCTGCTCCTCGAGCGGCTGAAAGAATCTGCTCCTGCGCGGGTGGTGAACCTGTCATCCGTGGTGCATCACGCTGGCAAGATCCGCTTCCACGACCTCCAGGGTGAGAAGTATTACTGCAGCGGCTTTGCCTACTGCCATAGCAAGTTGGCCAATCTGCTTTTCACTCGTGAGTTGGCCAAGAGGCTTCAAGGTAAGTCTGGAGAAAGAGCTAGGGTTAAAACGATAAACGCACCAGATTAGACGTTCCCAGAACCCTTAGAGTCAGGCTGTTAAATACCCACATTTAGGTGGTAGCTCTGTACACTAAGGCAGAGTGATGTCATCAACAGAAAGTCTTTGTCTCCCAGGAAGCTTACTACTCAGTTGGTTTAAGGACCCCATAAAGTTACCTTACATGTATGTTCCATTTTATTGGTTAATTTCATTTGATTTTCACAGCAACCTTTTGTAACGGGCAAAGTCAGTATTCTTGTTCTAATTTTATAGGTCCTAAGTGAGGTCCAAAGAAGTGCCCAACTCAAGATCACTTCCTTTTATTTTTATTTATTTATTTATTTATTTATTTTTTTTTTTTTTCGGTACCGGGGATTGAACTCAGGACCTTGTACTTGCCAGGCAGGTGCTTATGTCACTGAGCTATCTCTCCAGCTCCACAACTTGTTTTATTTTTCATTATTAGTTATTTATTTTGTGGTCAGCTCAGCCCACCCTGGGGGCAGGACTGACACAGGCATGCAGTGCTGGGGATCAAACGTTTCTTGTGCCCTTTCCTAAACAGGCTCTTTAGATAGCTAAGCTATCTCGCCAGCCCCCAACTCAAGATCAGATGGCCAGTGTAAGACTCAGAAATAGAATATGGGGTCTCTGCTTTGAATCCAAGTGCTTGTTCCTGTGTGCCCTCTGCTGAGACCATGGGGTGCCTTGGTAGGCTGAGTGACAGAGCTGCCACTGCCTGAGATGAAGAGCCGGGGCTAAGTTCTGGGCCCCTGGATCCGAGGTTCCACTTTGCTGAGTACCAGCTCTGTGGGTACATGGCTGTATCTACTACCTGTTCTGATTTTGTCCTCTCTGCTGTTAAATGAGTCGAGGCTACCTCTTGACCTTGGAGGTTTTATTCTTTTTTTTCCTTGGCAGAATGGGGATTGAGGGGCCGGGGAGATGGCTCAGTGGAATAAGCGCTTCCCTGGCAAGCGCAAGGGCCTGAGTTCAATCCCCGGTTCTGCAAAAAAAAAAAAAAGAATGGGGATTGAACTCAGGCCCTTGCGCTTGCCAGGAAAACACTTATTCCACTGAGCCATCTCCCTGGCCCAAGGCTACCTCTTAATCCTCAATGATTCTATGCTGCTCTAGAGCTCTAGATGAGCTGGTGCTCTGACATCTGAGAATCTGGGGCCTCTTTGCTGTACTGAAAGGAAAATTAGAGCTCAAGAACAATGGTCTTCATCAGAATACCAACAATAGAAGAGTAGGGTAATCATAAAAATACATAATTATAATAATAATTATAATTATTATAATTGGAAGCCAAGGGCCGGCAAGGTAGCCCAGGGGACTAAGCACCTGCTTAGGCAAATGCAGGGCCCAGGATTCTATCCCCAGCACCACATGCCACATTGGCCCTTCCCCTGGGCAAACTGAGCTGGCCAGAGTCTGGACGTGGTGGCACACATCTATAATCACAGCCCTGGGGAAGCTGAAAACAGGAGGCTCACTATGAGTCTGAGCTGCATAGTGAGACCCTGTACAAAATACATAGAAATAAATAAATGAATAAATAAATACATAAAAATAAAGAAAAATAATTGGGAACCTTAAGCTGTTCATGCACCATAATCTTTTTTTCTTTTTCTTTTTAAAAGCGGAATATATTCATGGGAGAAAGGAAGTTTCTGTCCGAGAGAGACAGAAAGGTCCCGAGGGGGTTGCCAAGGACCCTGCCTTTTCTAGGGGCTTTTATAGAGCAAATCTATGAGGTGAGGCAGGTCCAAGGTGGGGAGCAAAATGGGAAATCCAAAGTGGGCATGAGGTGGGACTAAACTATGGTCAACCAATAAGATTACAAGTATAATTGCTAAAAAACAAACAAACAAACAAACAAACAAAAAACAAGTATAATTGCTCAGGTAAAATTGATTAAATAAGGATTAAATGGGGAAGCATGTCAAGTACCAAGTGGGCATGAATGCAGAACATAGTCTCTTCCTGTAGAGGGCTGGGGTTAGTGGCTCTTCCTAGGTTCCTCGAGCTTGTGATACCTATTGAGAATATCAATCCCTGGGGCTGGGGAGATGGCTCAGTAGGATAAGCTCTTCCCTAGCAAGCGCAGGGGCTGAGTTCAATCCCCAGTTCCACCAGAGAGAGAGAGAGAGAGAGAGAGAGAGAAAATATCAGTCTCTGATGTTTATCCTTAAGGAGTGTGAGTGCATTTCTTTTGTCTTTTGTCTTGAGATCTGGCCCACAGCAAGTTGCCTGTTTCCCTCATAGTTGCAAGGCATGTCCTATTCTGCACTGGCTCCTTCAAGAGCCTAGCCCTGTCTGCTGATAATATTTCTATCTAACTCAGCTGCCTACAACCTTCCCCCCACCCCCAAAGAAGTACCCCGAATGGGAGTCATAGTTGTTGACTGGCAGTTAGAGATACTCTCCAGAAGGTCTGTCTAAAGGTCCTCGGTAGACACCAGATGTTTTCATCCTGGGTAGGCGTGTGGCTTTAAGTCTGGAGGAAATAAAGCCAAAGAAACAATTAAGCATCATGCGTTGTAGCCTTACTCACTGAAGCCTTGCGACATTCTTCCAGGTGGACACTATTATTTCCTGCCTGCCACAAGGGAAGACCCAGGCAGAACATATTAAGGAATTTGCCTAATCAAGTTTCCGAGAACCAGGATTCAAATCCAGACAGTCTGCTCTGGAATCCACGCTCTTTGCCCTACATTAGGATATAGCCCAGTGATGGCGAACCTGTTAGAGCTTTCAGTGATACAAACAGCCCCTTGCAGCACATGTGCCATAGGTTTGCCACAACTGGTGTAGACCTGGGCCCTGCAGCCTGCTAGTTGTGACCTTAGGCAGTTTATTTACTCTCCCTGTGGCTGAGGTTTCTCAGCTGTAGATGGGTGTCTTATTTCCTGCCTCACAGCCTTAAGAATCAAAGGAGACAATGTAAGTAATGCACGGAACACAGCCCTTGCACATAGGAAGTTCTGTTTGAGGGGTGGTACAGGGACATCTTGGGGATGGGTTACTTTCCAACAGCACCCACCAACCTAAATCTCATTAGATGTACTTTCCAGGCCAATGCTGCTCAAGACTAGGCCTTACCCCACCACCTGCCACTTAGATTGCTAGCTCTTTCCATAGAACTTGTAGAGGTACAATGGCTGCCAATGGTTGACAGTGCTTCTTAATATGTGAACATTATCCTTCAAAAACATTAATGTGTTCTGCTTATTTTTTGTTATTGGCACTTAAGCCACGATATAAAGGTGACATCAAAATAGATGGATTTTGGGGCTGGTGAGATGGCTCAGTAGTCTAAAGCACCTACTTAGAACAAGTTTAGCAAAGCACACGGTTCAATCCTCCAGCACCACATGCCAGCCAGCCCCGCCCCCTGGTGGGCTGAGCTGGCCACACACACACACACACACACATTAAAAAAAAAATTAAAAAAAAAAAAGATGGATTTTTGAGCTTTTTGGATGCCCACCTTTTGGAGAATAAAAGGCTGAGAAGGCCATAGATCTTTCTGGAATAGTTTGATTCATTCCTGGGTAAATTCTGGCTGCCTAGGAGTTGTACATTCTGAACTGCGTGGTTGGACTTCCAGAGTCCCTTCTCACGTATTTTGCTCCAGAGATGAGCTGTTTTCCTGGCCTCCAAGTGTGTCCTTGGTCTCACTGTGCCCTCTTTGCCCTAGGCACAGGGGTCACCACCTATGCGGTGCACCCAGGCATTGTCAGGTCCGAGCTGATCCGGCACTCCTTCCTTCTGTGTCTGTTGTGGCGATTCTTCTCCCTCTTTGTCAAGTCCACGTGGCAAGGGGCGCAGACCACCCTGCACTGTGCCCTGGCTGAGGGCCTGGAGCCCCTGAGCGGCAAGTACTTCAGGTGGGTGGCAGCAGCGTGGCTTCTCTCTGTGACGTGAGTAGGGCGCGAGACTCCATGCATTTTGTGTCAGCTGTCAAGTTTGTGCCCAGCAACAGAATCCTGGTATGGGTTGGGCCTGCAGACTACTTCCTTTTCCAAGGAAGTTTACATTAGAAACTTAGGTCAAAAAGAATGTTTTCATGGCTCTATTTTACAGCTGGGTGCCATGTTCCCACATAGACTTCGTAGCTTTCTAAAAGCTGTTGGGGCTGACCAAATAGCTCAGCGGATTAAAGCACCTGCAAGCAAGCACTGGTGCTGGGGGTTTGACCTCCAGGCCTGCTGTGCCAGCCTCGCCCTGGGGGCACACTGAGGTGGCAATTGAGTCTGGGTGTGGTGGTATGTGTCGGTAATCCCAGGTTTTGGGGAGGCTTTAAACATGTGGATCACTACAAGTTCTTTCTAGTACTGAGACACTGAACACTCTGTAAATCCTTCCCTAAAATACAATAAATAAATAAATAAATAAATAAATAAATAAAAAGTGCCTGCCCAGCAAGCGCAAGGACCTGGGTTTGATTCCCAGTACTACATGCCCTGCTAGCCCCAGAACCTCAGGTGCACTATGCTGGCCAGTGAAACTGGGTACGGTGGTGTATGCCTGTAATCCCAGCACTGTGGAGGCTGAGACAGGAGGACCACTACAAGTCCAAGCTGTGTAGAGACCCTGTACCAAATAAAAATAAATTAAAAAAAATTATAAAAGCTGTTGGTGACTGTCCCAGTGGGCTAGGCCACAGAAAGAATGCTAATGGGCCTTATGGATCTTTTCTCCTCCTTTAAGCCTTTGGTTCATAAATTCTTTACTAGTACTTGACAGTAAGTGCTATGGGAAAGGCTACGTCTCTGTTCTGTGAATTCTGTGTTCCACTCCTGTCAAGATTGCCTTCATCTCTGACATACTGAAGTGTTGTTGGTACTGACTCTTGTCTCAAACTCAGCATGAAGATAGAGTTCGAGAGTAAAGGAATCCTAGGATGAAATCTCCTTCCCATTCCAGGACTTAACCCAGCCCAGGCCACACTGCTGTTTCTCCTTGTTCAAGGCTGTTCCTCAAAGCACCACTGAAATGAAGCACTGGAAGTAACCTTAGTGTCCAGCACTAGGGGAAGGAACAAACTATAGTAGCTGATTGCCATCAGCTGATAATGTTGCTTGAATTCTTATACTATGTTTGGAGCTCTCCTGAGCTTTTAAGTATATTAACTCATATAATCACTACTTTGAGAGATGGGTAATTGTATACACATTGTACAGATGAAACTCAGGCATAGGATAATTAAGAAACTTAAGTTTGTAGAATTTGTAAGTGGTAGAGCTGAGGTTGACACCCAAGCAGCCTGACTCAGCCAGAGATGTCAGCTGTCAGTGTGGTTGTCCCCAGCCCCGTGAGCTGGCCACATCGAATACGTGAAATGTGGCTGGGCCAGGGGAAGAAGTGATGTCAGTGTAAAATGCCTGCTGAATTTTGAAGACACAGTACAGAAAAAATAAAATGTCTATTAATATTTTTTTCATACTGAGTACATGCTCAAATGTTTTGGCTTTATTAGATTGAATATATTTATAAAATTAATTTAACCACCTTCTTTTTACTTTTTAAACATAGCTAATAGAAAAATGTAGGCTGAATGTGTGATTCACACTTATGGTTTGTACATATTTCTATTGAACTAATCTACTATCGAGAGTCCAAGTGTTTAAATTACTGCCTTAAAGGTATGATAAGACTATGTAGTCGTTAAATATATTATTATTATTTTATAGTTGTTAAATATATTATTATTTTGTCTTTCTGAGACAGGGCCGCACTGTGCAGCTCAGGCTGGCCTTGAGCTCACTTTGTAGCCAAGGCTGGTCTTGAACTCACAATGATCCTCCTGCCTCAGCCTCCCTAGTGCTGGGATTACAGGAGTGTGCCACCACGCCTGGCCCTAAATATAATATTATTAAATAATGCTTAATTTATGGGACACTGTTGGCCGTGTAACATTGTGAGAAAAAATGTATAATAGTGTTCATTAAATACATAGCACAGTCTGGAAGGATACCTAACACTGAGTAGCAGTGGTTACTTTAGGGAGTTTCAGGGAGAATCAGGCACAATATGAGGGAAGATGAAATACTCTAGATATTTCTTTATTATTTTAAAAATGTTAGGCCAAGAGCATTGGCTGGAGGATCATATATTCAGGGCCACCGTGGACTACACTGAGACCCTGTTTCAAAAAACAATTAAAACATCTATCTATCTATCTATCTATCTATCTGTCTACTATCTATCATCTGTCTATCTATGATCTGTCATTTATCTATCTATTATCTGTCATCTGTCTATCATCTATCTATATTGGGACTTAAACCCAGGGCCTCAAATAGCACTCTGTGACTGAGCTACATTCTCAGTACTCTATCTTTTATTTTATTTTATTTATTTATTTATTTATTTATTTATTTGGATTGAACTCAGGCCCTTGCATTTGCCAGGCAAGCAACTTATTCTACTGAGCCATCTCCTTTATTTTATTTTTTGAGACAGGGTCTTGCTAAGTTACCCAAGCTGTCCTTGAACCCGTGATTCTCCTGCCTCAGACTCCCAAGAAGCTGGCACCATAGGCATATACCATTATGCCTGGAAAACACATATAATTTTAAGAAGAGAAAGATATTCTCCTTACGCTGCATATAGTATGATCCTAGTTCTGTGTAAAAGAAAGAGGCAGACTATACTGTATATCTATTGATACATGAACAAAGCAAATGGTGTAAGAAAAGCCATATGTAAATCATAAGCTTTTCTTCTTCTTTTAACTGCGTTTGGTTCAGGGTCTCACTATGCATCTCAGACTCATGTTGATCCTTCTGTTTTCAGCCTCCCCAGTGCTGGGATTGCTGGCACGTGCCATCACGCCCGGCCTCAGTGGCCAACTCAGCATGACTCAGGGCAGGGCTGGCACCGCCCGTGGTGCTGGCGATCGAACCCCAGTCCCTGAGCTTACCTGGGCAGGTGCTTAGTCCACTGAGATATCTCACCAGCCCTATTCTTCTGTTGGTAATACATTTTTCAAAGGCCATACAGAATTTTCATAATTAGGAAAAAATATTATTTATTTATTATTTGGTACTAGGGATCGAACCCAGGACCTTGCACTTGCCAAGCAGGTGCATATGCTGCTGAGCTATCTTCCTGGCCCTTCAAATTACTTTTAAAACAAAGTTACAAGGTAGGAACACATAGGCTTCTCTGTTAATATATTCTGCAAGATTAGTCCCAGGAGCCATCCGGCAGATTTCAGGCAGTGGTGAGCAGAAGTGGCATGATGAGATAGTTGCAACAAACCCAGAGACAAGGAAATAGTTACAATTCTATTGGTGACAAGGTCACAGGGTCACTACCACTGCTGGGCTTCACTGCTTACATTCGCACTGAAGGCAATGCTAAGTATCACTTGGAGGTTTGTGAAATTAAATGAAATAATTGCCTCATTCGGGATTATAGATGCCCTGGAAATCGCAGGGCCACTTGGGTTCCCTGAGCCCCAGACTGTGTGCCCATTTTGCTTCGGCAAGAACTTGGGAGCAGCTTGAGGGGGAGAGAGAGAGGAGGGTAGAGGGAGGGAGAACACAGCTCCCATCGTAGACTTCCTTATCCTGGTGGTGCTGCGGCTCGAAATCAGAGTCTTGCAACTGCTAGGCCAGGACTCTATCACTGAGCTAGACTGTCAGCTCAGGGCTTTTTAAATAAATACTTGAGGGGCAGGGAGATGTATTTTGGTATCCCCACTACCAAAAATAAAATAAAATAAAATAAAAATAAAAAAGCATTTCAAGATAATTTCTTTGCATCCAGTTCATTGCATTTCATACATTTAGAAACGTAGTCTGAGAAAGAGACCATGCGCCTCCCCTGACTGTCGGTTCTCACTCTTCTGTATCTGCCCTTCAGTGACTGCAAGAGGACTTGGGTATCTCCAAGGGCCCGAAATAAGAAAACAGCCGAGCGCCTGTGGAACGTGAGCTGTGAGCTTCTAGGAATCCAGTGGGAGTAGCCAGGGGAAGAGCTCTGGCTTTACGAGGAGGCCCTATCCGTGCCATGATGAAAGGGGACCAAAGAGAAGGCCAGCACTGAAGGCTTGTCCTACTCACCTTTCTGGAAACCTTTGTCCACCCAGCCCTCAGGGGAGGCTGATTGTGGCCCAAGACATGCCTGCCTACGAACCTTCCTCGCAAGACTGGGAGAGTTGGCACCTTGTGGGACCAGAGGCCGGGCAGATCCCAGGCACGCTGCAACAGGGGTAGAACAAGAGCCCGGGGAACCGGGCCAGTTTCCTCCCCAGTGCTAAAGCCCGCGTGCTCAGCTGCGGTGACAGGGTCGTCAGTGTTAGCACACATTTCTGGGAGTCTGCTGCCTTGAACTCTTTGCCCTCTGAAAGGCAACGCACTACCCTGGACCCTGGACCAATTCAGGAAAATGGGCTGAGCTCAGCTGAATTTGATTTCTTCCTTTGAACACCCTGGAGCCACTGTGTGAGGTTCAGCCTTCCCCTTTCCCAACATGCAATGGTTTCTTCTTCTAAAAAGTTCCTTTCACCTCAATGTCTAGAGAAAATAAAAATTTGAATACATCTCATTGCCGTATTCATTTTTCTCAGAGCGAATGGAGTAAAGAGGAAGAATAGTATGTTATCTTTCCTACCCACCCATAACTTTCTAAGAATATTGCATCTGGGGTCAAAATCAGATGTTCCAGTTGGGAGATTTTTTTATTTCTTCCAGTGCTAACATTTTTTTTTTATCTGAGAAGTGCATGAAGTAGCTTAAAATGCAGAGCTGCTAAGTTCTATCATGGGTTAAGATCAGAGGTAACACTGTTGTAAGCAGCTGAATTAGATAGAAATATTCTAGGCAGTCAGACAGGGCCAGGGCCTCAAGGAGACAAGATGGAAGACAAGGTGACTTTGCAACTTGGAAGAGACACACTCTTGTGTGGGCCATGCCTCAAGAGCAAGACAAAAGAGAAAACACAGCAACATACTTCCCTGGGGATGGGCACCAGGGATTGATATTCTAAACAGGTATCAATCACCTCGAAAGAACTCAAATGAGTCACTAGCTGAACCCCCAACAGGAAGAGCTCCTGTTCTGTATTCATGTCTGCTTGCTATGTGACTCGCTTCCCCATTTGGTCCTGGACTTAATCAATTTTACCTGAGCAATGGTGCTTGTAATCTCATTGGTTGACTGTAGTTTTGTCTCACCTCATGCCCACCTAAGCTAGTTCTCATGTTTTCTCTGCTAGGTTATGGTCCTAGTACAAATTGCTGAATTATTATGGTGGTCATCTAATATGGCTGAAGCCCTTAAAACAACAGCTCATCTTCCCAGAGACCACCTCCCCGCTTCTTCTCCAACTAAGCCCACGATGCAGTTTCCTTTCATCTTTCCCACCACCTCAGGGAAGGCCCCAATCAGCTCCTCAGGTCTATCTAGACATCCCCCTCAAACCCCATCCCTGGCAACAGGCCATAGAAGCCTCAGCCTCCCTTTATTCCAGTCCAGAGAATTTCTTATCTTCCCAAATTTTCTCCGTGTCCTCTAAGATAATGAAGCCCCTTTCCCTTTATAATAAAGTCTCTTTCCCTTTTTCCTTCTGCCTGTTTCTCTGCTGCGACACCGTCAAAACCTATCATTTTTGGTGCTGTGACCTGGAATGGTGAGTAGTGTGGCTCCCCGGCACACCTTGCCCTGGTTTTGAGCTCCCTCACTGAAGGGCCTTCTGCTTCTGCTTCGGCTGCCTGCCTCTGCTGGCTTGTATCCAACACCGGCCAATTTTAATCCACACAGGTGAGCCCCAAAACTCATCTTGGGGAATCCCGCCTCGTATTTTCCTCTTGTCTCGAAAATTGTGAGCTCACGTCGGGGTCCCCACTCATCTTCCTCGGCCATCTGGCCCCTGGCTCCCTGCTTTTTCTAGTGACAACTGATAAAGTGGGTGTTAGCCTTCTCTCTCTCACACTCACTCCATGCTAAAAAGTGACAGCTTTTTAGTGGGAAGTGACGTCAGGCTTTTGCCCTAATTTTTGGCTCACCTTTTAATTCGGTCACCATGGGAAATACTTGTTCCCAGCCCCCAAAAGACATCCCATTGGGATGCCTGGTCCATAATCTCGACTCCCTCGGCCTCCGGGAGGCCATAATACCTAAGCGATTAATTTTCTACTGTCAGACAGCTTGGCCACAATATAAATTAGATGGTAAAACTCTGTGGCCCATACAAAAACTTTTGATCCCCTAATTCTCCAAAGTTTAAAAACTATCACCACACCAGCAAGAAATGGCAGGATATCACCTGTATTCGGGCTTCTTTTTCCTTTGAGGACGCGTCCCTCCCTTCCTCCCTCAACTTCTCTCACTCCATAGTCTGTAAAGTAGGAACAGCTCCCCCGCCTAACAATCTCTCCCAGACCAGATTGCCCTGCGCCCCCGCCTGCAGAACCGCCCGCAGGAGTCGCCGCCGCTGCTGACAAAGGCCCTCGCCTCTGTCACAGCGGTCGCTTCCAATTTACCCTCTAACCTCTTTAACTTCCAGGGACTACGGAGATGCCTCTCCTCCCTCCCCCGCCTTCCTCTCTTCTGTCAGTCGGCCTACATTCCTCCCTAATCCCCCTCCCAATTTACAATCCAATCACAGTCCTTTTTTTTCCTCCAAAAATCTCACTCTAAAAAATCAACTAATAACTCATTTTTCCCCCAACAGTGCATGCCCCTCTCTCTGCTATCCATCAAGCTAAAGAAAAGAGAACAGCCGGGCGGAGCGAGCGAGCACGCTGCCCTTTCCAGCGCCTGCTTCTTTTTCCCCTACTCCCCACCCCCACCCTCGGCCACGGAGATAGCTCAGTGGTCTAAAGCGCCTGCTTAGCAAGCATGAAGGACCCTGGGTTCGATCCCCAGCACCACAAGCCATGCCAGCCCCGCCCCCAGGGTGGGCTGAGCTGACCATAAAAAAAAAAAGAAAGCAAAAAAAAAAAAAAAAAAAAAAAAAAAAAGCTAAAAAGGTCATCATAGTTTAACCTGGCAAGAAAAATATTTGACTGCACTCTCATTTTATAAAGATGTCCATGTGTCCTGTACGTACTTGTTTGTTTTTGTCATTCTGTAAACAGCTGTTCCTTTTTATTTGAGCTCTAAAACATAGACTTGAAAGCGTGCTTTCGCTTTTGTCTCAGCCTCCGACATGCCCTCCAGACTAAGGAAGACCCGGGAGCTTCGGGGCCATGTGAGCCATGGCCATGGCCGCATCGGCGAGCACCGGAAGCACCCCGGAGGCCGGGGTAATGCTGGTGGCGTGCATCATCACAGGATCAACTTCGACAAATATCACCCAGGTTACTTTGGGAAGGTTGGTATGAGGTATTACCACTTAAAGAGAAACCAGAGCTTCTGCCCAACTGTCAACCTTGATAAATTGTGGACACTGGTCAGTGAGCAGACACGAGTAAATGCTGCCAAAAACAAGA